TAGTACTATGGTAGCGTGAGAGAACGAGAGTCGAGAGACAAGCAGTCTCTTTCAAGGAAAGGACTGTGCTTTAAATACAGTGGCAGCAACCTTAAAATCACAAGACAGCAGCCACAGCACTGTTAGGGATACTATGACGAGCTGAGCCAGCAGTGGGTTGGATAAATTTCTATTTAATAATAATTTATTACAATTAGAAATGAAGCTAACTTTAAAAAAATAGGTGTTAGCTTAAATAAATCATCAAATTTTGTGTTAGGCTATATAATTTCATTGCATTATTTTTCTATGTTTTATGTACCTTCATTGCCTTGTGATGTTCTCATAAATCCCAATGTTTATTCCTTATCCTTATTTTTCTAACCAATAAGTAATCCACTTACAAAAACCTGAGAAACTGAAGATCTAGTCATGTTGAATCACAATGCATTTGACCTTGTTGTCTCCACTTTTACTTGGCTTTTATTGCCTTAATCACTTCTGAAAGGGTGTATAGGAGTGGAAAAGTGGGGAAGGGTAATTTAGGCACAGCCCTATCGACTATAAATGGTTGTAACTTATTTTTCCCTTTTCTTTTGTAAAGAAAAGCTGACCATGTATATATGCATGGAAAATACCAGTGATTGTCAATAAGCTTACTTTTCCTTTCCCTCAGCCTGGCTTTATTTTTTTCTGTCCTTCCACAATAACTTAATTATTGGGATGCCTTCAGTTTTCAGTGAGAAACTGCAGTCTGGAAGGGCTTCAGATGTACTATGGAGAATGTCGTTCCAGTTTTTAGGCACGATGGTACGCTTCTATTTCTTAAACCATGGATGTCCCGATTGCCCAGCATGAAATCCACTTCACATGGGACTTCCTTTAACTGATTTTTCTTCTAACTGAAGTGGTAGTTTGCAAGGCACTGTAAATCATGTCGGAAGGCACGACTGTAAAGTAAGAGTCAATCAAACAAAAACTCATCAGATCATCTCAAAGGTCCTTTTGTTTTCTTCACAGTGATTGCATGGAGACATGGTCTACTAAGGCTAGTCCCCTTGCTCAGATTTTTGGAAGTTCTCTTTCAGATTTCCTTATTCTTTGAGTAGAATCTTCACTTGTCCTCAATGATGAAATACACTCATTCTCTGAAGTTCAGTTTGATTTTTGGTGAACAGTCTAAAGTCATTTGGAAACAAATTAAAGATTAAGTCATCTAAAAATAATTTCTAGTCATTGATTAAACAAAAGTGTATTAAGCTCCAAGATAAGTTAATACCATAAACAAAAGCATAAATATACTTCCTGGTCTCAAGATACCTAATGTGTTAGCAGCTCAAAAATAAGGAGGAGATGATTTTGGTTTTGTTTTTATTTTTTTAAATTGTTGTGCTGGGTTGGGGTACATTGTGGCATTTTCAAAAGTTCTTACAATGTATCAGATATATCATGCTTGAATTCACCCCTCCACCATTCTCCTTTATCCCCTCCCTTCCATCCCCCACCTCCCCATTCCTGGAATAGTTTCAGGGACGATTTTCTTGAGTTCAACATTCCTCATGGTGGAGTACTTTGTATTATGTGTATCACTGAGAGATAAGCCTTACACTTTGTGCACTCTGTCCTCGTCTTCAGGACAGACTCCTTTGGGTCCTTTATTATTCTCTAAAATGGGTGGGTAAATGATAAATCATCCCAAATTTATTTTGGCCAAATTAAAATGAGTTGATTAAGTTGAGTAGAAGTAAAATGGAAGAAGCTGTTTCAAATGAATGGAATGAGTTTTGTTCTTATTTTCTTGCATTAATCTTTATCTTCTGGGAATTGTAGGAAAAAAATCTCAAACTCAAACAAAATCCCCAAAGAATTGTTGTTTAGGAACATTTAGTGCAAAGCTAAACTTCATCTGTCCTTGAACTCTTGGGTGAAAAGGCTGTAAAACTTGAAAGAAGAATGGAGTGTTGGTGGTAGGAAGCATGTGAGTGCTAATATTTTCTTTCCCAAGAATATATTTTTTCTGTTTTTGCCTTTTCAGCTCTTTGGCCAACTCTCTGCACTGGGTAGAACCTCTCAACAACACTGAGTAGAGAGATGAGCTTAGTTTTGTTCTTCATTTTAAAGTGAATGTTTTTTCACTGGTTTATTGTAGATTTAAAAATAGAGATCCATTATTGTGGTTTCCTTCAATTCCTGGTTTGCAAAGATTTTTGAGAGGTACCATATTGTCAATTAAGATGAATATACTGCTATTCTATATTTTGTGTTGTTCCATGGCATCATCTATGGTTTGGAAGCCCTAAAATTATTGTTTCTGTTTCAAAGTCTCTAATAGTGTATCTTTCTGAAGATTTGAGAGGCTCTTTAAAGCTCCTATTCATCAAAAAAAAATAAACAAAACAATAAAAATAAACTCCTTTTGTTTTTGGTTATATATTTTGCCACAATATTAAAGACCATGGACTCTGTGTACAACAAATACATGTGAGTGGTGCCTCTGAGGAGGAAAAGATTAAACTCCTCCAAAAGGAAATCGGAAGAACGTCTACTGAATTTGGCATGATCTCAGATATTTGAAATTTGAAAAACAAAAATCCAAAGCAAACATGACAATAAAATTTGACTATTTGGAGAGGCTGATAAATGTGTTTATCTTTATAACTTGCATTTTCAAAGGAAATCTTTAAAAAAGGAAATAAGTTAGTCTATTCATAATTCTTTATGTGCATTTTCTTTCAATGTACTGTTGCCTCAATTAAAAAGTACAGTAAGCTAAGAGAAAAGGTGGTATGGCAATATTACTATGAGGTAAAGTATTGCAGTGAAGAGAATATTTTTTGTCTCATTGTCCTATTGCCATTTAAAGCACCTGAGTAGAAAGAGTGCATTGTTCATCTTTGTATTCCTGGGATCTGGCTGCTATCATTTTGCTGCATGAGAGCTATATACAGGTTCCTCTTATCCATGGTATCACTTTTGGTCTCAGTTTACTTGCAGACAACTGAGGCTTAAAAATATCCAATGGAAAATTTCAGAAATAATTCATAAGTTTTAAATTATATTATGTTTTGGGTACCATGATAAATCCTCACATAGTCCCACTATGTCCACCCCAGGATATGAATGAGCCACTTGTCCGGTATTTCCACGCCACACAGACCACCCACCCATTAATCACTTAGTAGCTATCTTAGTGATCAGAATGACTGTCATGATATCACAGTGCCTGTGGTCACGTAACTGTTATTCACTTACTAAGGGTGTGCCAACACACAAGCAGTGATGGCAATTTAGAAAGGTTTTGCAGAAGTTACAAACTGCTTTAAGTTAAAAAGTGAAAGTACAGTAAGATATTTTGAAAGAAAGTAAGAGATACCATTTACCCTAATTTTAATTGTAGTATATCATGACTCTATTAAGCTCTTACTATGTCTAATTTATAAATTTTTTTCACAAGCATATATATATGTGTGTAGTAAATATAGGGTTCAAAACTGTGCAGTTCTTTTATCACGGGGGGGTGTCTTAGAACATATCCCCCATTAATAAGGAAGACTACTGTAATTCAAAAGTATAGGGTTTAAAGACATAAGCTTCTTAACCTTAAGCAAATCTGCCTCTGTGATGGATTGAAATCCTTTGCTGGGTGTGAATGTGGCAAAGACTTAGGGCCTCCAGCTGACCACACTTCAGCTCTAACGACACCTCTCCCAGTTCATTCCTTTCTAACTGAATTCCCATAGGATCTTGTTACCTGTATTTCCTAAATCACTTAGCACATAGTGGGGTAGTTTTATGTCTGTCCCTTTGGTAAAAGTATTCATTCAACAAAAATTTGCTCTGACGCCATGTGTTCAGCACCGTTACAGGAAATAAGGACATGGCAGCGAGTACGGCCAGGACTTGTTTTAGGAGTCCTAACATCTCCACTGCTTAGCACCCATATCTGAAACAGGCCTGATAAATATGTGTTCACTGAGTAAAGCTAATTAATACTTGCTGAATGCCTAGTGTGTTCGTAGCAATGTACTGTATCTTGAATCCAAATTCACGCTTTGATACGTGCTCTGCAATAATGCACAGAATCCTTTAAGCATTCCATTAGAATACTCAATACAGCCAGGGCACTGTAGAACAAAAGGGCTTCTCTGCTGGTCAGTAGGTTGGTGGAGTAAAAAGGCACTGTACTATTTCCTATTTCTTTAGGATTACCTTAGATGCTATTCTTGATTTAATCTTTTAAAAATATTTTTCCTTTCATTTCATCATTTATTTATCCTCTAAATTTATAACCTCAATGACATGACTCATTTGTTATAAATACCTAAGAGACACAGGCATCAGTGCTTAGAACTTATTTCTTGTAAGTGTATAGCCAGAGCTAACTGTATAGGCTATAGGGATGCCCATCTGTCAGGGATGGTGTTTTTGGTTTCTCTGATTCCAGATAGTCTTGCAGAGCTGAAATACAAGCTCTACAACTACAAAAAGCTGATTTAAGAAAACAACCAGAATTTATGCTTCCATTACTTTCCATCTGAATTATTCTTTGATACCTTAAAATATTAGCTATCATATTAATATTTAATGCATCATATTAACATATCATGAATAAATAATTTAAAAATATATATTAAGTGTTTAAAAAGAGTGGGTGTATATGTATTTTAAACAATGGAAGACTGAAAAATTAATAATCTTATATTTTATTAAATAATTACACAATGGTATCCAAAAATAGTACTGATTCCTTAAATACAGCATTTAAACCTCTTACTTAAACAAATATTTAAGCCAAGAAAAAGTAAGATTCTCATAGAAAATTTAATGCTATCAAAGGAATACCATTTTAATATTAACTCCATTAAGTTGTTGTTTTAACAGGTGTGCAGTGCTGCTATTACCTGTTAGAATAACTCAGGGAGAACAATACAGGATAACCACATGGTAGTATGTGAACTAACATTTCAACTGTAGACTGACTCCATATTACATTTCAACTGTAGACTGACTCCATATTTTAAAAAGCTTAAACAGTAACTGTCACTTCTGCTAAGGCGTCCTTTGCTGTGGTTGGTCTACTGATTTTTCAGAAACAGAGCCGCCCCACACTGGATCCACTGGTCTTGGCTGGCCCCACATGGCACATCAATGTTGGTCACCACACGTTCCCGTTCAGCGCTCGTGTAAACGGGCAGAGAGATGCACTCATCAGAGGAGTAGGGACCGTATGCACCCTGTATAAAAAAAAGTTTTAAAATACTGCAATATACTGTTCAGAAGCAGTTATCATTAGATAACTAAAGAAACAAACATGAAACCTTCCAACTGCTGTTTTATTTAATATTTTATTAGGAAACATTTTAAATAAAGGTTACGCAAACCCAGTCTTCCTACTGGATCACTCATGCTCAACTGTGTTTCCTTTATAAACTTCCCTTAGCACCAAATTATAAATTTTCATCTATAAATACATATATCTAGAAATGAAATATAAAAAACATAAAATTTTCCTAATATCAAATATCCTGACTGCCTTATCCCATTATTTTAAGGTTTTTGGTTAGAATCATAATTCAAAAACACAGCCTGTACCTTCCAGTTTGTCACCTCGTGAGTCTTTTAGATCTAGAGCTGTTTTCCTCTTTTCTTAGCAATTCTTGTGACAAAACTAAGCACAGCGTCTCCCATGTTCTGGCTTTTTTGGTTACACGCCCATGGTGGAATAGCCCTCTTCTCTGTACTCCTAATAAACTAGACCTAGGGTGAGCTGAAATTCTTGGAAACACACCGCATAGGCGGTATGACAAACTTCCACCAGGACACATATGATGTGTGATCGTATCTGTTTGGATATTAGAAGCTAATGATTATTATATGCTAATGATGCACCCACAGTTGTAAAGGCTAAGTATTTTAGTATATACACAAAGAGAAAATAATCTTCCTTGTAACTCAAAAATCAGTTTAGGAAACAAAATACACATACAACAAATATCTCAATATAGTTTTTGGAAAAGTGTGTACTTTCAAAAATCAAACATCACTCCTCTGGGATACGTTAATCTAAGAAGGGTTCATGGAGACAGTGAATCCTGAGTGGGGCTGCAAAATGAGAAGGGGTAGGGACTGCAATAAAGAGAATTCTCAACCAGCATATCCTCGCTGACTTCTCTTCCCTCTCAAGGATGCTCAACTGGCAAAGCTTTAGGATCCAGAAATTACTGTAATTGTCACAGCTCCTTAGCCAATTCTAAGGACAGCCACCTAGTGCAGGCTTTCTTCTGGTGCTGCTGCTACATTATTTAGCAAAAGCAGGCAAATAGCCCATATTTGTTGACTGAAGTGATCCGAATCTGTGAATGCTTATTTTTAATGTCAGAAAAGGTCTTAAATTATCTCCCTCTGCCACCTGATACTTGTTTTGCTTCCCAGTTCTTTGATCAAAAATGAAACAGAAACTTCATAGTGAAATGCCTTGCTTGCTGCTCCTTACTACTCAGGAGATCATTCCTGTCACTTCATAGTACCGTCAATAAAATTGCCTTTTAAACAAGAAAGCAGCAATAATGCAAAGTCCCCTCTGCACATTTACTATCAGTTACTAGGCTTTGGATCTGTTTCCAAACCTTCTTGGACTCTTAAGCTTTGCTTGTTTTAAAGTGAGGTGAGGCTGGTGGAGTGGCTCAAGCATGAAGCCCTGAGTTCAAACTCCAGCACCAAAAAAAAAAAAAAAAAAAGAGAGACAGGACAAATCTTTCTCACCTAACCTATGGCGTTTTAAGAGATTTTGGGAATGCCAAGCAAAATGCCTTAAGTGGTAAAAGTTATTGCTTCTGGGAAAAAAAAAATTAAGAGCACAAAACAAATACTGTTAACTATTCGGTCAATTTCAGTCACCATAAGTCAACAGTCAAAGTGGAAGCAAACCAGGTGTTTCTGGCATTCTGATGAATAGCGCAGATTATTAAAATTCTTCTGACCCAGTTCCCTCTTCAAGATGTTTATCAAACATTAGACCCCGCTGGCTAAAATATTTAAATAAAATTAACTAGTAACAAATACACTGGGCTCAACCAATGCTAAAGGTATGTTAAATTAATACTACAAATATTTCACATTAATAGTACATGTAAACAAAGTATTGCGTAACTAAAGCTTAATAACTAACAACTGTGTGTGGTTACACTAAAGTGGCTAATGTCATAAACTATGCTTTTAGAAAATAAACTGGTCCACTTGGCTCAGTTCAATAATGAAGCTACAATGTGACATTTTATCTGGTTGGGCCAATTAGATTTTAATAGGTAAATTTTTTATGGGTAAGCATGATGCATAATTTTTCTGCTTTATAATGTCTCCAAGAAAATTTTGAATGTCTTACAACAAAAAACTTTCCCAAACCCCAGGGAAAGTGATTTAAAAGCACATGTGAGCTACAAGTAGAAAGCAATATGCTAATTATTTGAAAGCAGGCAACACATTTAAAGGAAATATTGTGATATTAGACAGAACTTGACCAACAAACCAAAGAAAACAACAAAATAAATAAGCCACAAAACAAAAAGTATTAAATATTTGGGCCGTTTCAACTCACCTTCATTAAAATAAAATATATATGAAGATAAAAAAAATTTCCTCTCAGTTTACCATAGTCTAACTTGTTCTAAAAATGTTTTCTGAGTATTTGAGTCAAGTGAACAAACGGTTTTTTTAAATGAAAAGACTGGAAGAAACAACTGAAGCTTACTGTATGTCTAAGTGCATATATTTAATAGTGCAAAATAAGTATCTTGAGACAAAGCAACTTGCCACAAATGAGTACTTTGTGTTTTTTTATTTATTCACTTATTCATATGTGCATACATGGTTTGAGCCATCTCTACCCCTCTGCCCCCGCTCCCTCCCTTTCCCCCCGTCCTCCTTCACTTCCAGGCAGAACCTGTTCTGCCCTCACAAATGAGTACTTTGAAAGACATTCTAAGTGTAGCTACTTTTAAAAATATATTCTGGCAGATGCTTTGCTCATTTCAACAATATAATTATTATAAGTTCATAAAAAAACAGAGTGTATATAAGGTAGAGCATGTTTGTGTAGCATGTATGTTCTAATACACATGAAGATATTTTAGTATCTATAAAATATAAGGTAGTGACTTTCTGTGAGTGGCTTGTGGAATCTTTTTATAGTCATATTTTCCCTGAGAATGAAGTTTTCTTGTAGAGTTGTCAAATAGGATGACTACTGTCTAGTCCCTTGGTTGATGGTCAGGCTGGTTTGACTGTTACTGGGGGCTGACAAACCCTAAGTACCATTCTTTCCTGGAAAAAAAGCAAAGGCCAACTGACTTCCTGCAGAATGCCAGGACAAATGATCTACACCATAAAGCAGCATTTTCCAAACTGTATTATGTGGCCTACTCGATCCTGATGGAGTGTGGGGTGTAGGTACATGAGAAGTTTGGTAATTTAGGGGACTTCTCAGTTTTTAATTTCCAAGGGAAGAGAATACTGTAGCTATCAAATGTGTTTGCTGAACAATTTTTTGCTGAGAATTAGCATAGAGTAATGCTGCATACAAATATGTTGGGAAATGCCTTGGACAAAGATGGTTTTTATAGTAAAATCCTGAGGAATATCTCAGTTAGGATTTAGTATTAGTTTGACCAAGAATGCTGAGCCATAGCTGGAACACTTAATCTGCATCATGCCAGTGGCTCATGTCTATGATCCCAGCTACATGGGAGGTAGAGATCAGAAGGATCCTGGTTACAGGCCAGCCTGGGCAAAAAGTGAGATCCTACCTCAAAACCAGATCAAACAGAGGTGTAGGTGTGTCTCAAGCAGCAGAGTGCCTGCCTAGCATGGGCAAGGTCTTGAATTCAAACCCTAGTATCACCATAAAAAAATCTGCATTATGAATCAATGAAGGTATAAATGAATGGCTTGAGCACAGGTTGTAATACTCTTAGCATACAGATGAGGGTGAACAAAAACACTAGAAAATAGTTCAGCAGCATTTTATTTCCAGTTTTCCTTGAAGGCATAATTCCAGTTGTGTTCCTTCACCACATTACACAGAAGTGGTAAGAAAACTTCCTCTTCCCTCTGCCCCAATTAAATTCTTAGAACTGGTTGTTGGTATCCTTTTGTTAAGTACTGCACATATTCTAACAATGTCAAAGAAGTTCTTCAATCTTTACAACCCAAAATATTGCTCTTTGAAAACATGGAGGCACTGCTACTATGAAGCACTATTGTATAAATGAGTGAGTTAGTGGGCAAGTTTCTGGTGGAATGAAGCCATCTGAGGTGTTTTGGTTTCAGATAATGTGTAATTTGTGAAAAAAAACCTGCATCTGGCCTAAAAGGTTAGTCCCCAAAGTTGTGAACTATATTCTAGGCTCTCTGCAACACAGTAGCTGTAGGAGTGAAGGCAAAAGCCACTCTTACTGGCTAACATAAATTAATGATGATGCTTCCTTTGATTTTATGCTGGTTCGGCCCCACTTACAAAAAATATGTCAAAATGTTGATGCTCCTTTTCCACTCCACATTCTATAAAACTTATTAAAGATAGCCACATCTGCCCTAATAGAAGGTGATGAGCATAATAGTTTAGACTGGGTTGGCAAGCTTTATAAAAAGCTAGAGTCAATACGTTAGGATTCCTGGGCCACACAGTCTCCCAACATAACCACTTTGTGGTGTAGCCTCAGAGCAGCCAGATACAATATGGGCGTGGCTGTTTTCCAAATAAAAGTTTATTTGTGGACATGGAAATTAGAATTTCATATAATATTCATGTGATAAAATGATATGAGTTTCTCCACCTTTTAAAAATGTAAAACCTATGCAATGTTTATGGGCTATTCAAAAACAGGAGGTAAACTAGATCTGATGATTAGGCCATGGTTTCTAAGCCCTGGTTGAAATTGTTAGGGTGGCTTTGGATTAAGGTAACAGTTCAGGAGAGACAGACCTGAATTTGAGTCTAATTTGCCTACCTATTAACTATGTGATCTTGGGTAATCAATATGATCTTTTAAAAAAGGAGATAACAATTCCTGCTTCAAAATTTCTGCAATGCTTAAATAGCTTATATTTTAAACCCCTCACACAGTGCTTGGTCATAATCAGTGCAAATAAATGCTGAGTATTACTATTTAAATAGTAATGTGTTCACAAATATTGTTGTGACTGATAACAAATCACTTACAATTCTACCAAGCTCATAGGACTGTTGTGAAAGGCGAGTATAATTGTATTTCACGCTGTGCCAATCTCCTATCCACCCTCTCCCTGCTAGATTGGTTTTCCCAAACTGCAGATTATATCAGGCTCCTATTATAAATTCTTACTGGTTTTATGCAGGCCACAATGTGGTCTAAATTCTTTGTCACAGCTACTCAGTGGGGCATACTTGGTCTTGGCCTTTTCTGATCACATCCCTACCAGTCTTCCATATACTCTAGAGGCACTACACCTGCTGTTCCCAAAATAACCTTTCTTTCCTGTCTCTAGGCCTTTACATCTACTGCCCCTTCTATCTAGAATACCTGGTCTCCTACCTTTTTGTTGAATTTGTCCTTGAACTGTCATTACTTGCATTTCAAGTCACAGTTCAAGAGCTGCTTCCACCTCTTGCTGAGGTCATCTGATTTTCCCTAGCTGCTCACACACGGCAGATTTGCTCCCTCATTTTAAATTTATTTAAATCTGGTATGTAACAATTCAGCAAGTATTTAATGACTGAAAGCACCCATAAACTATAATGTAATACATGAAGTAAGACAGTTATTATTCTATACTAGAGGGGGTGAGCTTGCTCAAAACTTGCTATGTGAATATATGGAATTTTCACATGAAATGCTCTGTACTATTAAAGAATCCCAAATAAAAAAGCAAAGGATCATATTGGCAATAGGGTATTAGACTTGGGCTGTGAGACACAGTGTTGGTTTTTCATATACACAGGAACTTGCCCGTCATCACCATGGTCCTATAGCACCCTTACAGCTTCCATTTTTAAGTGAGGACACAGGCTGAGGTTGGTGCCTTTGCCCATATGTCCTACTTCATAATTTGGGGAGCTGAGGTTGGAGCTGAGGTCTGTGTTTGGAATATGAGCAGTATGTGTCAAATTCTTACTACAGAGGAAACAGTCCCAAGCAGGACTGCATGAAAAGAGGAAGACGGGAGAAGCACAAGAAAATCATTCTGGTGCAGGTCATGCAATAGCACAAAAGCCTAGGGGGAGACCCTTATATAAAAGTAGGAAAACATTTATATTCCCTTTTAGCCAGTCTTTATAGGCATAAACTCAATTAATTTTGAGTCTCTACATGAGATATTTTTCAAGTTATTTTTAGCTTTTTATTTCAATCCTGATTTTTTTTTTTTCCAGCAGTACTGGGGTTTGAACTCAGGGCATCATAGTTGCTAGATAGGCACTCTACCACTTGAGTCACTCCGCCAGCCAATTTTTTATTTTTCAGGTCAGTTCTTCCATTTTTGCCTGAGGCCAGCTCAGACAGCAATCCTCCTATGGAAGACCTTCCACGGAGCTGGAACCATGCCCACCTTACTAGTTGAGATGGGGTCTTGCTAACTTTTTTCCCCAGGGTTGGCCTCAACTGTGGCCCTCCTCATCCCTGCCTTCTGAGTAGTTGGGGTTACAGAACGGGGCCACTGCACCCAGCCCTCAATCCTGATACTTAAGTATGAAGAATACAACTGAATGGAAATGATACAGAAGGTGCAATCTTGCAAAGGTGTCACTTCTGAACCTTGTCAGGCATGGGGTGCTTCTCCGGGTCATCTTCTTCTAGCTTATTCTAGTCATTCGCCAAGCTCCATTTTTATTGCTGGGGTTTCTCCTTCAGTGAACCAGTGAGTACTTTTCAATATTTTTATTTCCCCATCAAAGCTAGTAGGTGGATTTCAATTTTATCTGACAGAGAATTAGCACTTCACATAATTTGGATTCAGCAGACTTCATCCAGGTCATATATGACTTCATATGATAGAGCTAAAACCCTTGGCAAACTCGAACCTTAGCTTTTGGGCATGAATTTCAGTTTTTGTCACAAACCTAAGATCGAACGCACACAGTCTGTAATTTTTTAACTTTGGGGTACCAAATTTCCTGAAGGAATTAATAGGAAAACTTAAATATTCTTACAACATCTTTCTTCATCTGTCAGTCACTCTAAATTAGGAGAAAATGAATCTGAGCTGGGTGGAAAATAGGAGGCCTCACAGTAATGTAGTTCTTTTAAGTCAAGGATGCAATTCTAACCCTCTAAGGAGTTATTGCTACAGCTTTATGGTTTAAATATTTAGATGCTTTTGATTTTTAAAGTAAATGATAACTAGAAAATTAAGTGCATTATTTCTCAATGAGAATTCATTTTTCTTGGAGTGAGCAATACATACTTTTCTTCTTATTAGATACAGGATTATAGTCTATTCACACAGTCTCATTTGCACTCTTAAACTTCACAGTTAAGGTTACACGCTTCATCTGTGATACATTTATTTTAAAGGCAAATGGATGCCTCTAACTTCCATTGTTGAAGGTTCTTTCAACAACTGAAGGTTTTATTCCTCATCTGCCTATCAGATATGATGTAATATGAAGCCCCAGACATGTGCCAAATTTTGGGAAGCCCTGTGACACGTGGGCATGTCTTTACTCATGTGAACACAGGAAGAATATCTGCCTTGCACAGCAGCTTTGGAAGCAAATGAAGCACCTCGCACAGTGTTGAAAGTACATGGAACACAACATGTGTTGTTAATATTTTCTTAGTAGGTTATATTTTCATAAATTAAAATTGTTATTTCCAAACAAAATGGCTTTAAAATGTCCTAAACATCTTAAAAATTATAAAAGTAAAACATTTTGACTGTAAAATCATTTGGGTAAGATTAGAAAACAAGCAAAAAATACATAGGCCAAGAATATCTCATTAAAAAAAAGAATGTAAGTACACTGATGAAATAAACTGTTCCTGTTAAAAATGCATTACCTGTGGAATCCAGCCCATAAAACAAGGCAGAACTGTTGACACACTAGGAGAATCATGCTGATTTTCAGAAAGCTGATTCCCATCAAAAGTACATCCTTCCAGCAATAAGCCACTGATCTGTCATGGAAACAGACAAATCATTAACATATGTATAATTCTGAAATGGCCAGGAGTTAGCTTATTCTAAGTAAGATCAAAGGTGACATGTTCTACTTCGGCTCTGTATTCCACACTATGAAAACAGATTATGGCAGCTTATTGGAGAATAAAGAAGGTAAGATTTGGACCAGTAATTCATGGTGAAGTTTCTTTAGACTGAGTTGTCATTTGTAGCTATTATTTTAAGAAAAAAACCACAAATGTCATCAGTTATATAACCACAAGTGCCTTGTCATTTGATTAATAGAAATATAATGGCAAATCCCAAAATAGTTATGCTTTCTTCATGAAGAGGAGATTAAAAGAAGAGCAACGTGCTAAAAAAAAAAAAAAAAAGAAGAGAGCAACATGCTCCCTGGTTGGATTCTGCGTCATCTTTTAAAGAATGGGACAAAGCTCAAGAAGTTTAATGAGAAAAAAGTATCTCACTCTAAGGCATCACTGATGGAGACATTCTGAAAATGAAAACAGTTCTTTTGGTAATACTACCTTTGTATATTTTAATAGTCTTTCTTTGACTTCCTAGAAGTCAAAGGCATGCAAAGGCATGAGATGTAGACTCTGTATTCTACGTTAATAGCTCTTCCAAAACTCTGCCTTCATAGCCACATCTATATTCCCAGTTTGTATTTGATAAACAATATAACCAATTATAAATATTATATAGTGCCTTCAATTTTACCATACTGTATGTGGTCTGACTTATGATGGTTCAGCTTATAAATTTTCAGCTTTAGTGCAAAAATGATCCATACTTTAAATTCTGTTTCCTCAGGGTAGCAGTGTGTGGTAGGACGCTTGTGTATGGGTGAGTAGCAGGCTGCAGCTCCCAGCCAGCCACATGATCACAGAATCAACAACTGATATGCCACAGCGTACAGTGTTGATAAGCAATGATGGTCAGGAGGTAAGGTATACTGATGCATTTTTTACTGAATTTTGACTTATGAGTTTATTGGCACACAACCCCACTGTAAGTTGGACATCTGTAAACTACGGACTTTAAGGTCTTAAGCACTGTAAGATGGAAGAGTTAAGATCATCTTCAGCCAGATTTTATACAGGAAATGGTTTAAGTACTAGGAGAAAATATCTTAATAGTTTCAAATAACAATTTCATTAATTCTAAGGTGACTAGTGCACAGAAAAATAAGCAACTCAAAGTGAAGGAGCTGGGATAAAAACAGAAGAAGTACTTACATCAGATTCCTTCTACTATACGCAGATGTACTACGAAGAGTGCTTTGAGAGTTCTGAAGTATTTTGGCATTAGAAAATTTAAGTTAATGTTTAGAGAGGCATGCTAATCTCAGTGCTAGAAACTCTCCAGATAAAGCAATTCTTACAAGGCCTCTTGTAGAGATTCCATCAATTCTTAAGCTTTAGTAGAATAGTGTGAATAGAAATTTGCAAAATAGACTCCACTGATGCTACTACGACTTGTTATGTCACGTACAGTCTGTTTTGTTTGTGATATAATGTATCACATCATTTTCTATAGGTGAGTAGCATCTCAGTATCACTATCAAAGGGTTCCTCCATTCTCCCAGTTTGCAATGCTTGCCACTTTTATCATGTCAGTTTCCATTCAGGTTTCTCTACTGTAGTACATTACCCTCTGTCTTTCATAATATTGATAACATACTGCCTCAAATACTGCAGCTTAATAATAACCATAGTACCATGGTAGGTTACAAAATATGGCCAAATTCCTCTCGTCTTACTGTGCACTCTTTGGCATGCAAAAGCTGGGTTTCTTTTCCACCCCTCAAATTTAGATTGGGCTTGTGACTGACTTTGAGATAGAATGTGGTAGAAACACTTTAAGCAACTTCTAAAGCTTTCTCTTCTAAAACTTCTACAGCTTTTCTCAAGAATGCTACAGAGATGGCCCAGAAGGAAGCTCTTTAAGTCTACTGCAGTATGAAGTGAGATCCCTCCAGGCCACAGCACTGACCTGCCACGGGAGGGAGGCCCATGTGCGCCTTCCGGTCTAGGTGACCTAGCTGAGTATACATGCAGGGTCTGGGTAGAGTTTTTATTAAAATTGCATTAAAATTTTAAAATTGATTTTGGAAAGTCTGGTATCTTTTAAAGTAGACACACCATATACACGAACATGATTAACCTTTCTCTATTCAGTTCCTTCTTATTTTTTCTTCTCAAATTACCTATGTGGTCAGGATTTTTAAATATCATACAACTGACTTTATTTTAATTGGTAGGGTTCACATTTTGAGTTACAGTTGTCATGTTAAATCTTAGCATATTTAGATTGTACCACCTACATGGCATGTAATACTGAGACAGGCATTTCAGAATCTCTTAGCTGGTGACACATTCTGAACTCAGATGGACACCTAAAGTCGCTACCTTAATTTGCAGCTTTGCTTCCTGAAGTCGTCCTTTCCATGAGGCTACAAATTTCAGACTATCCACAGAATGACCCATTGCCCTATAAAAGTAAAGTGTCAAATGTTACAAAGAAACAGTTCTTGGGGGATGTGGCTCCAGGGTAGAGCTAGTGCCTAGCATGCAAGAGGCCCTGGGTTCAATCCACAAAACAAAAATCCTCAAATTAAAATGAGAAAAACAAAAATATATTCACGTTTATTTTAAATTGAAATATTTAGAATGTACAAATAACCTGTATTAAATTATGCATACTATGTAGTTTGAAAAGTGAACTGCTCAAATGCTACAAATGTCTTTAAGTAGATGGCCTGTAGCCTTTACACTCTCCATTTTGACCATGATCCTAAAGAATAAGCACATAAGTGCTCGGTAAGCTGGGCTGGCACAGTGGCTCAAGTGACAGAGCACCTGTCTAGCAAGTGTGGGCCCTGATCAAATCCCAGTGCCACCAAAAAAAAAAAAAAAATGCTATTAGCTGAGCCAAAACACTGATGTTCTTATATACTAATATCCTGCAGTGATATGACCTGACATAATTTTTCTCAGTTTTATTGGTAGTATCTCTTTCATTACATTCTTGTTAAAAGTTATGGTCTATATACAACATGGTTGCCTGCCTCTGGTGCTGAAAGGAACTTGACTTAGCCATCAGATACAGCCCTCCACTAAGAAGCGCAGCCAGCACTGTACAATACATTTTCTATAGAAATAAAGATGTCTCGATGCAGTCCAAAGCCATGCTAGCGTGACTTGAGAAATTGAACTTTTGTTCTTTGGTGGTACTGGGGTCTGAACTCAGGGCCATGAACTTGCTAGGCAACCACTATACCACTTTGAACCATGCCTATGCCTTTTATTGTTATTGTTGTTAACAGTGATTTTACAAATAGGATCTTGCTTTTACCCAGGGCTGGCCTTGATCCTTGACCCTCCTACAGATGCCTCGCACATAGTTAGGATTACAGGTACCCACCCCATAGCAAGTTTTTTGTTGAGATGAGGGTCCTGAAAACTTTTTGCCTGGGCTGGCCTGGAACTGCAATCCTCCTAATCTCTACCTCCTGTAAAGTATTACTCATATTTAGCTCTAATTCATTTAAATTTAAATGGCTCCATATAACCTCTGGCTACCATTTTAAATAGCACATATCTAGATAAATAACCAAACTTTAAAAATTACACTTCATCTTTATCAATTCTAACAAAATATAGTCAAATGCAGTGTTTTCTAAACTAAAAGTTAAGTGTGGTATTAAAATATTGTGAATAGCATAACTATTTAGATCTCAAACTTCCTGAGAAAGCAGTCACCTTCAGGAGTAGCCCATCATCACTTACCTTGCAGTTTCCTGGCGAAGGGCATTAAGAAATGTGTCTGGATGGAAGAGCTCTGACAGGTCAAGTGTATCAGACAGCAGAGCCTGCTTCTCAGCTTTTTCTACCCAGTTCTAGAGGAAGAGGGAGAAAACAAACATTCAACACACATACCCTCTTAAAAACAAATCAATTAAGGAATTGTTAGCATAAACCACTGGCACTCAGAGTTAAGCACTTAGTTTTCAAATGCTCTGAAATAGTGTCTGGAAAAAGACAGGATTTCCATTTTATACTGGAAAGCCCGACATAGTAATCTGGCATAATACCCACCCCTCATAAGTTTCCTTGTACAACCTTTTGCTGGTTAAAATCTCCATATACGATGTCTGAAATGTGAAAAGTAATTTCACTTGTAGCCTTTCCTTTGGGGCTGCATTGCCAGTGATGACTAATCTCTCACCCTCACTGGCGCTCCAGGCCTAGCTCAGGAGTGCTCAGATCCTCAGCCCTGGGAATGAAACTGAATTAGGGTTCCAAATATAGTATAGAGCAGAGGGTCATGTCCAAGAAGAAAAAATTCTTTGTCATCTTCTACTTATCTGCCAGCATAGAAATCAGCTCATACTTCATTTGGAGCAATACACACCAATGTAAGTATTTTAAAAGTTGCCACTTGGAACAAATAACAAAAACAAAGTTTTGTGCAACACTTATTTTATGCTATGCAGCCCTACAAGTTACCAACAAGGAAATGGAGGCATAGGAAGGTGGAAGGTTTTGCTCAAGGACAAAGAGTTAGGAGGTGTTAAAGCCAGGAAAGAAACTCGGGTTACCCTAAGTGGTTTGTTTCTCTATTGTAATTCCTGCAGATGCCAATATGCTTTAATAGACAGATGGTATGCTGGTGATTTCTGAATCAGTCTTATTTCAGCTGGTGCACAGAGACGTACTACAGTAATTCAACTATTAAACACTTACAAAACTTTCATTTACTCAGTAATTCATTTTGCACAATTTAAAGAATCCAGAAAGAACTGTGCTTACTTAATTTATTATTGTTAGAGAAAGGATATGTTTAGTGAGCTGTAACAGCCTGTCATCCAGTTAAGCATTTGCATCTCTCAGCCAGGAGAAATTGAAATCTTCAAAGCTGCCATGATTGCATTAATATCTTAATGCATTTGACTGGTACTCAAATCCTACGGAAAATACATTTTTATATCCTTCTTATGATGGATAATGCTCATTTTATTGGTATAAAAGATTTTTAAAAAGATATCCTTTAAAAAGTATAGTTCTTTCTCTTGCATGTTATCCTTTATAATAACATTTCACAAAATATTCTCAGTTGAATAAATTATATATACCAAATATTTTACTCCCTATCTTTTATTAGCTAAACAGTCAGGTTATTCCTAAATGACATTCCATGGAGATAAGGAAAAAATATTTAATGCTAGCTGTAATACAGAATTTATTAATTCAAATTATATTCATTCATTTAGAAGTATTTACTGAAGGTGAGGAGCCTATTCTATATACCTAGGGGAGAAGAGACATCACAAATGACTGAAAAAAGGTAGTAAGTGCAAAGCCATGTAAGAAATGAATAGTATTAGAGTTTGAGTCCTAAATGACCCAATTATATAGAATTTTGAAGAAAATTCTATAATGCTACCTGAAGAATATTATATCTAATATATTTAGTTGTAATATAATCAGTTATCACTTTTTTTGTGGTACTGAAGTTTGAACTTGGGACCTCACACTTGCTAGGCAGGTGCTTCTCCACTTGAGCAACTCCACCAGCCCTTTTTTGTAATGGCTTTTTCGAGATCAGTCTTGTGAATTATTTGCTGTGGGGAGGGGGGCTGGTTTGGAACAGCAATCCTCCTGATCTCTGCCTTCTGAATAGCTAGGATTACAGGTGTGAGCCACTGGTACGCACCATTATCTTTACATAGGCCATAGTTCAGAAAATAAATACATCACCTCTATCTTTTTTCTTATTTTTTGCCAGTACTGGGGCTTGAACTCAGGCCTCGAACTCAGGGACTCATGCTTGCTAGGCAGGCACTCTACCATTTGAGTCCTGACAGTCCCACCTCTATCTTTTTTAAAACCAATTACTCAAATGTTCTCCAACTCTTTTTATATATTAAAACTAAGATCTTTAAGGAGATGTAAGTTAGAATATAAGTAATGAAATTGGTTAAATGTAAAAGATTATGTGCCTTTGATTTTATTATAGTAATCAACTGTGGAAACAGAATCAGAAACAAGAAATCAGGGTAAACTTAAATATACCAGTTATATCCCACAGGGAAAAAAATCCCAGTGTATACACACACACACACACACACACACACACTTATGAAGTACACATCCAGTCCAAAGAAGAACATGTGCTTAGTGCTTAGTCTCAGATCATAAGAAGTAAACTCGGAGTTCAGTTGCATAAAGGTAGCATCATTGGAGAATGAAAAAATTCTTCAATAAATGGTGTTGGGGAAAAATTGCTGTCAGAAAAAAATCCAAACCTCACTTTAACTTACAGCTGAACTCCTTAACATTAATTGTAGAATGATTAAACTGGGAATAATAATTTCCCCACCAATCAAGTAATAATTAGTGGGGAAGAAAACATTATATGGCAAAAGAAAAAGGAGATTAGGTAGTTGATTACAGAATTGACGGAATTTGTTTAAAAAGAAAGGAAACCGGTGGCTCACGCCTGTAATCCTAGCTACTCAGAAGGCAGAGAGGAGGAGGATCACTGATCAAAGCCAGCCCCAGGCAAAAAGACCCTATCTTGAAAAAATCCATTACGAAACAGGACTGATAGAGAGGCTCAGGTGGTGCCTGCCTAGCAAGCATCAGGCCCTGAGTTCAAACCCCAGTATCACTAAAGGAACATTTTCAGTACATCTGGCCTATTTATGATTATCTTTGTTCCCAGGCATTAATAAACTGATGCAATTTTATTCTTTTAATGCACTGTGTTTCTTGAAATAAGTGTTTAATGCAAAAAACTCACTTAGACAACCATTCTTCTCAATTATTTAGTATAACTTTAGAGGTTTAGGGAACTGAGAATAAATTCATGCAGAACTAAAATCTACATTACCCAGAATAAAAATAAGTACCTCAGTCATAGTTTTGACTGGAGTAAACAAAACATTCAAAGTTATCAGCAAGTTACAACCAGTTTCTCAAACCACTGGATGACTAGATGGTAAGAAACTGCAGCTCATCAGCAAGGTAGATCACCAAGAATTACATGGGAACCAAAGCCTCAGAATCACAAAGACAGGTCCCTCCTCTGAGGAATGGCAGGGATACTAGAGATACTGCCATTGCTTAAGTCTAAATTTCTCCTGCGTCCAAACTTTCATTTATGTGACTCACATCTTGTGCTAACTATTGTTAGGAGAAAACAGAAGAAACTGTTTTCTTTCAAAATTTGGAATTCAAAATAGAGTTGAACTAGTTTCCTAGACATGTAGTAATTTTAAACTACATGATCGTTAAAATAATTTCCTGCCCCATGTACTTCATATTCATGTCACTTTGCCTACTAACTTTAGAGTTGTTTTAATAATGTGTACTGAACACATTAATATAAATACTCTGTCCATTAATGTGCTCCTAATCAGTTACATTGAATTTGCTTCTTCACTGCAACTCTCAAAATTTAATTGAACAAAAGTCAAAAACAATACATTAATCTCTACCTTTTTGATATCTTACGAGGTTCACAGGTTGTCTAAAAAAGCTTTCTTTTGGTTAGTGTCAACACAATGTATGTTTTCCCACTACTTTACTTTCATAGGTCTTGCTTTTATCAAGATGGACAAATTTTCCCTTTTAGTTGTTGACCTTAAAATATTTATTAACTTTTAAAAGTGCTACTTAATGTTTTAATATTTAGGAAAAAGTGAGCTTGTACATTGCTATATTTTTTGTGATACTTGTCCCTCTGCCTGAAACTCTCTTCTACCAGATGTCTGTGTGTGTCATTAATCCCTTACCTCTTCAGGTCGCAATTCAGATACCTGAAATGTCTTTCCTGATTCTACCAGTTTTAGCACAACAAATTTAGCTTTATATTTAGAGAGCTACATGCTATTAATAGGTATTAAGAAAAAAGGGGGAAAATACTACATGGTCAAGTCAAAGGTTATATTTTCTCCCCCTGGAAAAATTTTCCTAAGTAAGGACTTTTCTGAGGCTCTGTTAGTAAATCTTCAAACAAATATAAATGTTCATTCCTCCAATTTTTTAGGAAATTAATCTCAACCAAAGAACTCTGAAGAAAGACTAGTATTATACCTGTAAAGCGATTCTGGTGTTCCAGGCATTTCTCACTTCCACCAGGTTATGCTCAAAGCTGCGTATACTACAAAAATGCCCTACTGTGGAGTTCTTGCAGTGCAATTCCTCTTCTAGGGCACAGATGTCTTATTTTGACATGGGACTTTGTTATGGTATTTTAACCTTATTGTAAATTCCCTACAAAGATTCTAACCACTGTGTAGAATGCTAGGATTAGCAGATCTGGAATCATAGAAAAATGGGTGATATTTTCCTGTGGGATATCTTTTTAGAGATCTTTAAGTTAAATAGGAAATTTTTCCCACACTAATTTATGAGCAGAGCATAATTTTGATAAATGGTATTGTGGAAAAATGAACACAGACATCCACTCCAGTGGAAAGCACAGCTCCAATAAGCTCCTTCCTTTGCTCCCTATTCTCCTTAAACTTAACTTGATGTGGAACAATTAAGATGTTATTTTCTTCCTTATTTAACATTTGTCATAGTAAGCACAGAACCTGCCCCCACTGAGATGAAAAGAACATTTTCCAAAAGCGACCTGCTTGCTGGTCTAATTTTTTAAGATCTTGACTACTTTTTGGTTAGGGATTAACGGTTGGTTCCTCATATTATTTAGCTTGAATTTTTTAAGATGTACAAAGGAGCTGATGGAGACTTTAAGCCTCCAGAATTGTTTCAAATGAACTAATATTTGCTATGCACAAGTTTTGTTATGCTATGTCCAAATTAATGGACATGGGCTTGTCTAGCTGGAAATATACTGTACCTTATCTTTTAAAAGGGAACTCTTACTCTTCTCTCTACCACTGAGTAGACTACTGGAAGTCCAGCTGAACATACAGTGTCTGTGTCTGGGTTTCTAGACTCAATGTTCAACACAAGAATGTACTTTTTTCAATAGAACCTTGTGATGCTTTTCTAGCACCTTATAGAGAATCTGGGGAGAAAAGCTTCATTATTTATGTTTTTATTGACCATCTCCCCTGACTTTTCCAAAGACGGAAATGAATTAAGTTGGTGCTAATCCCAGATAGGATTAATGCAGAAACTAAACCACTGTAACAGTTACTGGAAATGGCACACAGTACTTAATTTTTGATAGTGGTAAATCAGGAATTCACATTATCTACCCTACTTATAGGTTCTTTCTTAAGGATTTATTATAATTTGTTTTATGAACAGTCAAAACTACATGACATATAAGACATTGAATGTCTTGTTATATGCTAATAAATTATGTTCAAAGAAATGTAAGAAAAGTCTCTAAATGGCAAAGAAAAAAAATGGCTAGATGAACCAAGGAAAGCCTTGAAACACTATTTTACAAATACAAGTACCAACAAGACAGGCATTACTAACAGTCACTAGTTAATGGCAGCAAAAATAGTGTGTTTGCTAGAATTTGTAGATAATCTTTAAGAAACTAAATGAGCTGAAATATTCACCACATTTTCTGCTGTAAAGATCCTCTTACTATGCTACTACCAGAAGTGCTCATGTTGGTGTGGATGTGATGAAGCCTGCAGTGCAGACAGGAATTCGGGAAAGACTTTGCTATCTTGAGAGCCAAGTATGCTGCTGTGCCATTGTATTTCTAGAGCCAAGATAGATTGTCTGCAGACAGTGCAAACAGCTCTGAGATTGCATCCACAAAGCCACAGACCACCAGAGATTACTGTTTAGTATTCAAAATGCACAAGACAGCTGCCCACAGCAAACACTTGTCAGCTGATAGTGCCGGCCAATTACTGTTCTATATAAAGTTTGACTTTGAAAATTCTGTTGGTGGTAATCAAAAAAGCTTGACTATGTATTAATCCTACATTTCAGGATTTTGTTCAAAATATTTTTGATGCAGTTCTAATATTTTTATCTATACTATTCAATATAACATGCTAAAGAGCATCATGGCAAACATGCTAGAAACTGGGTGCTTGAATATTAATTTAAAACAAAAGATGAGAAGGAGCAGCTCCTCGGAACCCAGGAGGGAGTATGGGCTGATAGTTACACTACGGAAAATTCGGCTTCCTTGTGTTATGACGGGGAGAGCTAGGAAGAAGCCAACTGGGAGAAGGGACACTTTCGCATTCCGATACATAGTACCCAACTTAGACCTAGTTCTTACGAAATGCAGGCCACTGAAAGAGGACCAATTTGGAATGAAGGAACAGGTGCTATCACTAAATGCTGGTAGCATGTAGTACTTATGTTACCTGCTTGTGTAATGTTACCTTTCTTTTATTGCCTAAATTTTCCCAGACTTCAAGGATCCCAACAGCAGATGAAAAGATTCTGTCATAAGGCAAGTGACAGGATTTGGTGGTATATCAGTATATCAGCCATTGGTTTGAGTCAGGCCAAGAGATTAGGTGAATTTAAAGGAGACAACACTATAAATCTTAGATATGAAACCTAAGCAACAGGTCAGTTTTAAAAATAAGCATCAAAGCTTGCCATTAGCACCTAGCACTTTTAATTAGCAATAAGTAGTAGAATATTGGATCAGCTTAACATACTCAAGCCTAACTGGGTTATGGGGGTGAAGTCTCTCTGTACATCCTGGCTTTATGAAAGTCAATGCAGAAGCTAGGATGGAGCAAAACTTGCAATCGTAAGGTCAAGAACCCAATTATGAGACGTTAATACTAGGAAAAAGGAACCAAGGCAAATACTGATAAGGTAAGATTTATAAACCTGATAGAGAACACAATAGAATTTAGAGTGATCACTATGGAAGAATCAGAATATATTGCTTCTGAGTTATGCTACAAGCCAAAGAAAAAACAAAGAGTGGAAATTAGAAACCAGAGAAACTCTCAGAAGATGTTTTAGTAGGAAAGTTATTAATCCATTCATTTGCTAATGCTTTTGTTCATTCATTTACCAGTGTACTAGGTATAGGAAATATAGTAGACTTTAAAAAGAAAAAAACCTTGCTCTAAAAGATCTTACAGAGACTGCCTTCAAGACTCTTTGGCTGAGATCCTTGGGTACCTGAGGTTCTCTCTCTAAGTTACCAGCCTTCAGAGGAGAGTCTTAAAACTTAAGACTCTGTGTTGCAGTCAAAATGACCCCTCTAAAGCATCATGTGACTTCCTTTACAATTGGTACCTTTTGCCCTTAATATCAAATACAATTCTTTAATATATATCATGATTTTGCCCTTTATTAGTTACTTTTGCATTGCTATGACAATTTAAAAGAGGAAAGTTTGTTTTGGCTCATGGTTTCAGAGGGTATCATCCATGATATGAAGAGGGCATGGTGGAGCAGAGCATATCAGAGCAGCCAGGAATTAGAGAAAGGGGAATGTAGGAAGACACCAGGGCCATGTATAGCCCTAAGGACACACCCTCATTGGCTTACTTCCTTCAATGAGGCCCCACCTCTTACCTTTCACTACCTCCCAGTAATGTCAGAGCCCTCACCATCAAATTGTCCCTGGAAATGTCAGAGATATGCTTTACATCTCCTAGGCATTTCTTGATCTAATCAAGTTGACAGTTAAAATTAATCTTTACATCCTTCCTGTTCTCTGAACAAGCTCTGTCTTTCATGTGGCACATTCTTTTCTTTCTTACTTTCCTTCTAAGTTCTCAGTTAAGCATCAGTCCCCTGACCCCCTCTAGGTTCAGTCCTATGGCTGTGTTCTCCTTTCTCACTCTTATTGTTTATTCAGTTCTGTTTCTGATAAGCTGTAAGGACAAGATGTAGATCTGTTTTGTTTACCACTCAACATTCGCCAACCTCACTATTTGGCACCAAATAGTGCCAAATAGTTGATAAAGTTTTACTATTTGATAAACGTTGATAAAAGTTTTACTTGCTACAATGAATGAATGCAAGAACTATACACTCCCTGAGGCAGGACCTAACTACTGTACGTCCAGTACTTCATACAGGGCTTGGAATGTAGTAGATGCTCACGGTATTTTTGAATGAATGAATAAATGCAATGCTTGACCCTGTAAGTCTACCTTAGTTATGTGAAGCCCCTATAATGAACCAGCTCTACACGACACTCTCAGTAGCTTGTTCTCCACCACCGGCTATTACACCCCAGAATACAAGGCACTGGGATCTGAGGCTCTGGCTGGATCTGGGCTCAAGCTGCTGTATACCTGTTCAGATTCAATCTGATCATTCGCTGCCATAGAAACCACCGCTGCCGTTTCCATGGAACCTTGCAAACAGACTCAAATCCTGCTTATTCTCTCTGCCTATTCAGGCACCATTCCTTTCTAGTCCTGCTCCAACCCTTGTAAACTGCTCTGGATATATAGCTGTGAAACTGGACAAATAGAAAGTAAATACCAAACATTAAAGCTCATTTTCTATATTTACAATTGATAAAAGCATTGAGCCAAGGAAAAAATTAATACAAAATTATCCCTAAGAGATGGTAGAAATGAGAAATAATTTATATTCCCTGATTAGAAGGATAGAAAATAAACTCTACTCAAGCCTAGAAGTTATCTTGAGAGTTAGGAATGTATTTTTTTTCATTACAATTAAGGCTAAATGCCTATAAAACTTTCAAGAAATCAACAGAGGAAAAGTGTTCAGTTGCTGGCCGGTATTTGTTGCAAACATATTCCCCATCGTTTAAGAAAATCTAAAGCGAACAATACTGAAAATATGTGAAGGGGTGGCTATCACAGCTATGTAATTATAAAAATCCTTGAGAGCATTCCCATACTTTTCTAAGATTATTGATGGAATATTGTCCCCCCTCCTTCCTCATTTATTGAAAATGTCTAGAAATAACCACAGCAGATAGAAAAATGAGCAATTCAAAGTCCCTCCCTGGTTCTTGTCCACTGTTAATTTTAACCTCATTTTCCATTCTAGTAGTCTGTTCTCCAATGATCCTACAACCCAGAGAAGTGGTTGTTACAATAGAAGCCAAACACACAGATGGATTCAGATGGGTTCTGATGCATTCGAAGGGTCTGAGATGAAAGCAGATGGAGTCACGTTCACAGGATTAGGGAGGATTCTTAACTATGTTGGTGATTTTTCTTTAGAGTAGAACAAAGGCAAGAGTAGCTTCAGACAAATTTCTAGATGCGAGAAAAGGGTAGGAATTTGCATGTGCTCCGTTGCATGGCTTGAATTTTCTGTGAGACAGTTAGGTATGGTTGTTGTCAATGAGTGTACATCTTAGGGGTTCAATAAAGTTAAATATTGAACGTATGAGAATATGTTAGTGTGGTGAGCAAAGTCAGTACAAAGGCAAAAAGACAATGGAAAAACACACGGCAAAAGAGGAACCTTGCACACAATAATGACCTCCAGGGAAACACTCTTACACGAGTCACAGTTATGAACTGGTTTCAGTTAGTATCTGTAGGACCCATCTATATTAAAATTGTTGACAAATGATAAAAAGTGCAAAGAAAGAATATACTTTTTCTTTTTTGGAGGCACTGGGGTTTGAACTGAGGGCTTCACACATGGTAGGCAGGTTGCTTTTACTGCTTGAGCCACTCCGCCAGCCCCAAGAATATACTTTTTAAAAAGACTCCTATGCAAAAATCACAAATGGTAGACTACAAACTGGATATATGGTATTTTATGTATGGAATCATGTCATTCTCATCAGCAAGGCTATTTCCATACGTATGTCTATAATATGATAGTCATATCACACTAAAAAATTACTAGTCTTACCTGTATTGCAAGGGCACGAGCTACAAGACCTCTAAGGTACTGCAAGGGGTCTTCTGGGCCTTCCCACCTGCTCTGCCATGTGAGAGGACACTGCAATTTAAGTTCACATATACAATATTAAATACAAAAGACTTCAACGTTATTGGGAGAGATAAAGAAATCTTGGTCTCTACAGAATTTCTTTCAACTATGCATAAAACAACATAATGGTCAGTATAATAGTAAAAAAGTATATTGAAATATATGATACAAAAGAAATAAAAAAAGAGTAAGTACCCTAAATAAAAACTAATAAATAAAAAACAAAGCCACTCTAACAATAGTTGCTTTATAGAAGTTATCGTCTATAAAGAAAAGACTTACTAACTGGTATTCTCTATTAATGCATACTTCCTTACTTCACAAGTATTCTATAATACATATCTATTATAATATACCTTTTCTGTGAGAGTTTCTGGATTTTTCATGTATTTTATAAATATCAGTAAACTTCATATCTTTTCTGAAGTGTGGTAATGAGAATATCAACTTAATACACTCAATCACTGTCTAATTATATATCCTAGCCCATAGTAGTTTCCAAACTATATCAATAATGCACAGAAAATTGGAATTATATAATATCCAAACTTAGAGAAAAGTGCCCTAAAAAACACCAAATCTATTTTAGATAAGTTTATAAGAGCCAAGAATCATGAGCACCAGAATGACGAGCTGAACTAACACAGATGGGTGATTTTAATGAATTTCAATAAACAACCTAATAATGCAATTCAAGGAATTAGGAAATAAACCAAGCCCAAATCTAGAAGAAATAGAAAATATCATACAGAAATAAATGAAATAGACTTAATATGAATGAACAAAGCAGTGTAAATATTTTGAAAAGATAAAGTTAGATTAACTAAAACTCAATCAGATGAAAAAGACAGTACAACTGATATCGCAGAAATGCAAAGAATTATTATGAATATCTCTATGCCAACAAACTGAAAAATCCTAAAAGAAATAGCTATACTTCTGCACACATGCAATCTCCCAAACTTGAGCCATGAATAGACTAATGGCAATTAATGAGACTGAACCAGTAATATAAAATCTGACAAAAGCTCAGCACTGGCTTTACCCAACTTTTAAAGAAGGCTGTGGTTGAAGATGTAGCTCAGGGGTAGAGTGTTTGCCTGGAACACATGAGGCTCTGGATTTAAGCACTAGCACTGCAAATAAACATTAATACCAGTTCTCCTCAACTATTCCAACATATGAAAAGGGAGGAAACCCTTCCAAGGTCACCTTCCAAAGTCAGTAGTACCACTACCACAACCAGAGAAAGACACAACAAAAAAACTATGAACCAATATCACCGAAGGCCAAAATACTAGCAAAGTGAGACCAACAGTACATCATAAAGTTTATATACCATTTATCCAAATGATACAAACATGGTTTAACATATGCACATAAGTAATATGTTACAGCAACAGAATTAAGAAAAACCAAATGATTATCTCAATAGGTACAAAGAGAACATTCAGTAAAACTCAATATACCTTTCATAATAAAAATTATCAACAAATTAGATATAAAAGGAATATATGTCAACACAATAAGAGTTATATATAACAAACAACATACTGAAAGGGAAAAAGTTAAAATTTTCCTTTAGGATCAGGAGTGAGACTTGGATGTCCACTTCCACTACTTTTATTCCAGACAGTATTGAAAGACATAGCCATAGCAATAAAGCAAGAAAAAGAAATAAGGATAATCTGAACAGGAAAGGAGAAAGTTAAATTATCCTAGCAGACCACATTTTATATACAGAAAAACCTAAATACTCCATAAAAAAACTGTTCAGCTAATTTAATAAGGTTGCAAGATACAAAATCAACATAGAAATCAATAGCATTTTTATACAGCACTAACAAACTTGCTGAAAAGCATGAAGGCAATTCCACTCATAATAGCTGCAAATAAATAAAGTACAGGGGAATAAATTTAACCAAGAAGTGAAAGACCTCTACAAAGATAATTATAAAACATGGATGAAAGAAATTGAAGATTCCATAATTCCATAATTGAGTAGTGATTTCATTACCAAATGACAGAAGTGAAATTGCCATTTAAATAAGAAATTTACAAAATCAAAAAGAATGGGTATTTTAAAATGTCCATAATGCTTAATGATTTATAGATTCAATGTAATGCTCATGAAATTACTAGTTGTATTCTGCACAGAAACAGAGGAAAAAAGAGCAATCTTTAGAAAAGAAAAAGTTCAAGGCATTATAATACCTGATCTGAAAATATACTACAAAGTTATAGTAATCAAAACAGTGCGGTAACAGCATAAAAAATGACCAATGGAAGGGAATAGTGATTCCATCAATAAATCCATGCAGCTACAGTCAGCTGATTTTCAACAAAGGTGCCAAAAACACACTGGAGAAAGGACAGTCTCTTTAATAAATGGTGCTGAGAAAGTTGGATATCCATATATACAGAAAAACAAAACCTTTATCTCTGACCATATATTAAAAATCACCTCAAAATGGATCAAAGACAAATATAAGACGTGAAACTATGGAACGAGTAGAAGCAAACATACAGGGGACATTTTACGAGATCAGTATAGGCAATATTTTTTGTTTATTTATGTTTTGGGGGTCTTACTAAAAACAGACAAACTGGATTATTTCAAACTAAGAAGCTTTAGCACAGCAAAGAAACTTAATAAAGAGTAAAGTAGCAACCTGCAGGATGAGTGAAAACTATTCATCCAACCAGGGACCGATATCCAGAATATACAAGAAACTCAAAAAGATTCAACAGTAAAAAGTCAATCTGACTAAAAAGTGGGCAAATGACCTGAAGACATTTCTCAAAAGAAGATATGTGCATGGCCAACAAGTAAGAGAAAATGGGAACCTGCTGGTGGAAACGTAAATTAGTACAGCCAGTATGGAGAATGGCATGGCTCCTGAAAAAGCTAAAAACATAATACATGATCCAGCAATCCCACTCCTGTGTATATCCAAAGGAAATGAAATCAATATATCAGCATCATCTGTACTCTGTTCAATGCAGTACTGTTAACAACAGTCAAGATATGGAACCGACTGAGGTATGTTTACTAATGGACAAATGGATAAAGAAAATGTGTGCATAGATACATGTGATATTATTTAGCCATAAAAATGGACCATAAGTTCTAATGGTCCACAGCACATAGGATTATTTTTTATATATTTTACAAAAACTAGAAAAGAAGAGTTTGAAAGTTCCCAACACAAAGAAATTGTGTTTAAGGAGACAGAAATGCTAATTATATTCATTTTATTATGCAGTTAGACAAGTATTGTGTTATTGCACTGTGCCCACAAAATATGTAAAATTATATCAATCTAAAAAAAACTCATTGGGAAAACATGAGAAATGACTAGTCTATTCTTTCTGCTATGCCAACATGGTATACTGGATAATTCAGCCTTACTGAATATACAGACTGTGTGTACTCTTCATTCTTCCTATCTTCAAGATCTGGTAAGGAGAGTCCCTGATAAATGTTTATTGTTGCAACCTTTCTTTTATCCAAAACTTGCCTCCTCCCCACTCTCAGACATGCTGAAAAACACAGCTGGAGCATTAAGCGTGGTGAGCATGCATTTACCCAATGACTAATGATTTCTTTGTCCCAGATTTCCATGCAGGCAGTGAGCTATTTCACTCTCAATCCTATACTGGTTTGGATGATAAATTACATAGTCCTTGTAGTTAATTTTAAAAATTTGACTAAATTCACATAATTTAGAGTTGTAGTTAATTTTGTGACTGAATATTGAAGTCGTTAGTATTAAAATTTAAGTTAGCACAGAATCAATAAGGCAATGAAACAATTAGATGGACAGCCAAAATAATGCTGGTGGGAAAAGTAATGCTGTACACTGAAATAGTAAAGATACATTGAGAGAAGAGAAGTGCCTGGTGGATAGGGTGGTTAATTTTGTACATCACCTTGACTGACCACAGGGTGTTCAGATTAAACATTACATCTGGGTTTGTTTGTGAGGGTATTTACAGACACAATTAGCATTTGAATTGGTGAACAACACATGTTATGTATGTATATATAAATAATGGTTTTTCTAAAGACAACGTTAATAAAGATGATAAATTTGGCTCAAACTGTGTATGTTTTTAAATCTACCTAGCATTGCTATGGACTGAATTCCCACACCATTCATATGTTGAAATATTAATCACCTTTGGGAATTAAATAGGTCATGAGAGTGGAGCCCTTATGGCAGGAGTCCTTATGGCCTTATATACAGGAGAGTGTACGTTTTTTCTCTCTGCTTCCATTTTGTGACAATACAAAGAGAAAATGAGGCATCTGCTAACCAAGAGGCGTGCTTGAGCCTCACACCAGCTCTGCCAGCACCTTGACCACAGACTTCCTCAGCTCCAGACTGTGACAATTTCTGTTGCTGGAGCCACTCAGCCTATGGTATTCATCTGCTGTATACTATACTTGTACATTGAGACACAAAAATATGTAAGAGTAAAGATTAGCTCTGGAGATAGAGATGTCTATCAAATATGTCCAAAAAGTAAAATGATAATCTGTAAATTTTCTTTAATGAAATCTAAACATACATTCAATGTGTATTGTCTTCTGTGGATTTTTATCAAGATAACATTCAATCTATTTATATACCTAAATAGTTTAAAAATTTGTAGATAAACCCTATATTACATTAATTTAGTCCAGTATCATGATGCCATACTTAAATGTAGGTGAACACATACATGCAGGCATCTTGGGCTTGAAATAATTCATTGATATTTTATCAGATTTTAACTGAGTACACATCAAGACCAGAGGGGTTTGCATCAAAATTTGATCTACAAACATAAAGCTAATAATGAGTTTTCAGTTCCATAGTTTACTATTCTAACCATGTAAAATGAGCCACTGCAATAAAATAAAACTAACACATTAATGAGTTTTAGATAGAATTTAAGCTATTAGGGATTAATTCAAAATGGCATAATACTTTATCAGTAATTTCTCAGCTCAGCATAGTATG